TGAGTAATAACACAAGTAGACAAATCAGAATTGTACTGAAGAAAACGGTTATTAGCAGAAGCAGCAGGGCAAACCATCAAAGACAGGTGCAGGAAACACCTGCAGTTCCTAAAAATACAGTCACAGGGACACTTTCCTCCACACAACCTCACCAAATAGCTGGACAAAAAGCCTCTGATCCCAGCTGCACTCATCGCACCAGGCTCTTACAGAAAGATCTGCCTATCACTGCCACCAAAGTCAACTCAGCCCACTGAAAACAGTCTGCTGAAGCACATGCCCAAAGCCGCCAGGTTGTTACAGACACAACAGGCTGTTCCTTGTTAACAGGCATCCAACAGCCACCCATAATCAACACATCTCTGTTTTCCCACGGTGCTCCCAGCCAGTTGTACCTACCAGAAAGACCCAGGCTTTGTAACCTATATCCTCAGCCAAACCACTGACAAAGTGGCCCTGAATGCCCCTGCAAATCCACTTTGCTAAAAAAGTTAGGGGAAGCTTACTGCAGCAGTTTTTCCAAAGCTGCCCTTCTGCTCTGCGCCCTTGAGGGCTCACCTGGAGTACTGCATCCAAATGTGGAGTCCTCAGTCTAAAAGAGACATCAAACTGTCGGAGTGCATCCAGAGGAGGGCCACAAAAATGATCCATGGAATGGAACACCTCTCCTGTGAGGACAGGCTGACGGAGCTGGGGCTGTACAGCCCAGAGAAGAGAATGCTCTGGGGAGACCCGAGAGCAGCCCTTCAAAAAGGGAAGGCACAGAAGAGGAAAGGCTCTTCAGCTGAACAGGTGACAGGACAAGGGGAAATGGTTTCAAGCTTAAAAATAGTAGATTTAGGTTGGATACAAGGAAAAAGTCTTTTACAGGGAGCGGTGGATGCTCTGTCCCTGGAGGCTTTCAAGGTCCAGCTGGACCAGGTTCCGGGCAACCTGATCTAGCTGCAGTGTCTCTGTTTATTGTGGGGCAGCTGGACTAGACGGCCTTTAAAAATCCCTTCCAACTCTAAGGATTCTATGATATCCCTCTTGTTGGCTTCGCAATACTCATTAATGTCTCAGGTCCTGCTTCGTGTAGAAATTACCTCTGACTCCCTGCACCACTGGAGGAAATCAGCTGAGTGAGAACACCCAGGCTCGCCGTTCCTAGCAGCGGGCCCTGCCAGCAGCAACATGCAGCCAAAATGAAACTCAATTGCAAGTGCTGCAGAAAGGCTTTCAGGAACCACTTCTGCACAGAGGTTTCTTACTTCAAGGTCATCCCAAACCACATCAAAGGCAATTCCGATAAGTAAGAGCACAGGAACAGCTCACTGGAGTCTCACAAATTAGAGAAGAAGGGAGCAGGTTCTCTTTTCCTCCCTAATTAAGGCTTTTAATTAAATTGCATCTTTTTCTTTCTTTCTTTTTATTTTTAAAAAAGAAGTTGTGTTCTTTTCGTTGGTTTTCTTGCCCAGTCAAGTGCTGCTGTAAAAGCCAGCATCAGGGCTCCATTAGCTATTTCTAAAAATAAGCCATATTAATTTGTTTCTCCAGCACCTGGTGTTTAAAGTTATTTCTTGGCAACTTCTGTTCCTGGCATTTAAACCTTTTTTGCATGCAGCTGAAGTCTGACAGCAGTACTGGTTATCCTTCCCTGCCTTGCTAATAATTTGGTTGATGGCATGCAGGTGGGTCCCTCATAATTAAAAAACCCATTTTCAAAGTTTGCATTAGGTGATTTGAAAAAACAGAGCACTCCATTCCAAGGCTAAATATAAGTACGCTGCAGAGCACCATGAAAATATTGCATAATTTAGAGATAAAAATAGTTTTGCTTTATTCAAGCTAGACAGGATAGGTAGACTTTTACTGCAATCAGCCTAAACCTCATCTCTTCAAGTTGCATGCTCAAGTTGATTACAGAAAATTAAATTTAGCATTAATCAACCTAGAAAAGAGGAAATTACAAAAACGAAGCTAATGCATAAATCATAGAAAATAACAGTGGAAAGAGCTTCAGGAGATCATTTAATGCATCCTCACACTTGCCCTGTGCCAAAATCACTCCCCCTCTCCCCAAGCCACTCCTGACAGCATTTGTCCAAGCGTTTTAAACATCTACCTGCCAAAGTCACCAGCTCTCCTGTTCCAGGCTTTACCTGCTGCCACCCAGCTATAAGGGTGTCCGAAGCGAGCAGGAATATATGTCTGAGAACATCCCCTGTGCCCACCCTGTTACAAAGGGCCTGGCCCAGGAGCAGCACCAGGTGGAACAGATCAGATGCAAATGGCTGCACAGCCCACCTGGCAGGATGTGGGAATTTGCTCTCCCTTCCCTCCCCTTCAGGAAAAAAAAGAGAGAGAGAAATGCGAATTTCACCTGTGTACCTAATTTTCTCAATTTAGAGAGAAAAGCCTACACAGTGGATGTGGCTTTCAGCTTTTCCATTGCATTCAGCTTCTACACCAATGCTGAGTTCAGCTCCCAGCAGCTCTGCCCATCATCTCTGCTTCCACAGCTGCGATCCTATTGGCTGCACAGGGCCAAAGGCAAACCGTGATCGCACGCAGCGAGAACTCGCACATCACTACGGGGTCCTGCAACGTGCAACTGCGCTATGTTAGAGCTCGGGTTATCAATTTTTAAGCTGATTTATTCTTTTTACATACCAGTTTCCCTACCACATGGCAGCCGGTCAGCACTGGAGCGCAGCAGCGCCTTGGACTTCCCCTGAGCAGCACAGACTCCCCCCCTTCAGCTCACAGGAGGGAACTAGCTCTGAACGGAGTTACCAGCACATGAGAATTCTCCTCCCTGAGCTCTGACAAATCCTGATGTTTCATTCCTTTCCTAATCTTGCTCCCTAGGAAATGTACAAACCTGGTCCCTGTTTATCAGCTGGGAGCATGGCTATAAACACAGCTCTTATACCTACATTGCTTTCTTCCTGAGGAAAAAAAAAAAGACAAACGTCAGGAATTTGGATAAATTATGAAGCCAAATACAGTCCTTAACTGTTCCCCTTGGTCATCTCCAAACTTAGTTTCTAATCCCTTTGAACTCCACCCTCTGTAGTTTAGTAAGTCACTTTCTTGGGACTTTTTCCATCCCCACTGCAAGATGCTGTGTTCATACGCATACATACGCACACAGATGCCCAGCACAGAATGGATCAAAAAGCATAAACCCCACAAAGGGCTGCAACAAACTCAACCTCCCTGGAACGTGACTACAGGGAAGGAAACGAATAACGTGACGACAGCTGAAGCCAGGAAGTGCTTCCCTGAATGAGTTCTTGAAGTGACACAGCAGCAGTTGCCCCCTGCTTTGTTTTATGCAGATAAAACAGGATGCGGGTACCCTGTCACAGGACCCAGGCTGCCCACACTTTCCTGTGACATGCTGGTGCTCAGCTAAGGGGAGAATCTCCTGAAGTTGATCAATGTGAGATGGTTAGGAGCAAGCCCCTGGGTAATTTGGCATGCAAAGCCACGCTAGGCACCCCTGGAGAACACTGCCAGATTGCACTTGGTCATGCTAAGAAATGCATGGCTCCCTGGCTAGAGAAATACGGGGCAAATCTTCACAAATGCAAAAGGACCAGGGAAAACACTGGGCCCTCGAGAACACAGTGGGGAAGCTCCAGCTGAAACACTTGAACCTGTCTCTATGAGAACAGGCAACAACTCTTGGTTTTGGGACGGGAAGGGCATTAGCTGTAGAGGACCATAGAACAACCAGTCCACCAGCAAAACATGGGCCTTAGGGCCTACAAAAACTCATTTGGGCTCAGAGATATGATCTGTCAGGCCACGACTAGCATCCTCACAATACTTTTCTCACCTATACAGACTTCACTTACACAGAAAAAGATGTCACACAGCCCACAGCACCTTCACAGAAGCAGCACTCGGTGCCCATACACTTAATAGCACTTGTGCAATACTGTAAATCTGCACAGGACTGCAGCTTGGGCAGTTTTAACTAAAGGCCAAAGCTATTCAGATGACTTGTAAACACAAGACCGAGGCATGTGATGCATAATCACTGGTTTCATGTTACTTAGCACCCCCTCCTCCCTCCCTTATCCCTGTGGATGTAATCACGTGGCCTCAGCACATGTTGAAGACTAACTGGTGCCTCACAGTACAGGGTTGCTTTTCCACTTTAAGAAGGAATAGAAAGACTCATTCTGAGATAGGATTTAAGCACATAGCAAAAGTTTGCACTGCAGTATTGCTGAAGTCTGGAGCAGTCCCTTTGGCATAAGGAAAACAGCAGCACTAGTGATTTGGATACCCAGATGCACTGCAAGCTGTAGTTTGGACAAGTGAGCATCTTCCAAGTTTATCCTGCTGTGATCCACACTCCATAAAATGAGAATAATCTAAAGGAAGGGCTGTGCAGGATCTACCTAAAGACTTGTGTTAAAAACTTCCTATAGTCCTAACCAGTGGGCCCCACAGGCTTATAGTGTCTGAGTAATTCATGACCACTGCTTGTTTACACAGAGAAATGTTTCTGTGCAAGCCTCCATACAGCAAGGTGACAGGATCCAGATGCAAGGCAGGCTCGCAGATGCCTCTGCCAAGTTGAGAGCTCTCTATCTTGACACTGATACCTCTGAGGGAAACAACTTTTTTCTGTTAGGTTCACAGGAAGCTCAGAGGAACCTTGAAAAGTTGCTATGATTATTTACTTTAAGTCCATGCGACTTTTCAGGGCACAGATCTCCCCTGCAAAGAAGTAAAAATTCATTAATAAATTGAAATAGTTTCACACAAGAAACACAAAGGCAGGAACATTACTAACCTTGAAAACATGGAGACCAGCCTCTTGTGCTTTTTTTCCTCCCAACTGCAAATCAACTGTCCATTTGGCAACAAACATTTAAATTTCACATCATTAGTAATCTCTATTTTGTATGTGAACAACTTCATTTATTAGCTTAATAAAAAGACCAAATGCATAGAGCTGAAAACACCAGGTAAGTACCTCAGCATACACTGAGAATGGGTTCAGAACTATAATCAACCTTCTTTATTATTGTAGAGAAACCAAGATCACCAGGATTGCAGACATCCACAACTGAGGAATCCCAACAAATACAAAGTCACCACTGTGCTATTAATTGCACTGCTCACTTACTACAGTTACAGCTGTGACTGCAAAGCACAACTCTTACACTAGATTTGCATCTCATTTACCTTTGGAACATGTCACGCGTACTTCACAGGTTTAGAAGTCCTCCTGGCTTCCTTCTCACAAGCATATCAAACATCTTAATGCAACACCACATAAAAGCTTCTCCACACGTCTACGCTCTATGCAAGGTCTTATTTTTCTTAATACATAAGCAATTTGAAGTCCCTGAGTTACACATTTCTTTACACCACCTCCCCAGAATGCACTGCGTGCTTTAGGTTTACAAGTTACCGCTGTCGTCCCGTATCAGCACCAGCGAGCGTCCTCAGGAGGCGCGTCACCCTCCCCTGTATGCAAGACAAATTTGGCAGCAGGCATCAGGAAAGCACTTGAACGGGAGACAAACAGTACGCAAGCCTCCCTAGAGCTTCCTTCAGATATTTGCTGCTGCTGCTGCCTGCTTTTAAAAGACAGATTGGTATTTCAGAATTAAGCAAGGAACCTTTGCCCCTCAGAGGCAACTGTCAACAAATCTTAATAGAGTACCAAACATAACTTGTAAACAACAATAATTTCGGGATATATTCAACTAACAAGGATGACAGAGACAACTTGCAATTCAGAAATAGCCTTTTGTCACAAAGTCTTTTCGGCTTGACAAAGAGAGTTAGATTTGTTTTTTTTTAAATGGTTAGTGCAATTTTTATTTGAGAGGTCAGCTATAAGAAGAATTAAACAGATGAATCCAGTATGACATCTCAGCTTCGAAGTTGTATTTTAAACCTGATCTGAAATATGGCACAGAACTTTTAATATCTAGACTCAAAACATTTGTAATATCAGAAATAAAACCACAGCTATTTCCCTCCTGGGAAGATTGGGGTGGGGGTTAAGTTCTCCAAGGGATAACTCGTATTCCATATAAAACAGAGGGACAAAAGCTTAAAGCATCAGAACTGCAGCTGTGTGCTTGGCCAGTACCTCTGCAATCAACACATCCAGCTTGATCTAATGTATAATTCATTTGGAAAAGTGAATGAAGGAAAAGTAGGCAGCCTCATCGAAGAGAGATGCAATGCAGCATTTGAGAACAGTTTCTGAAACTCATTCTTTCTTGGAGATGCAGAGTCCTGTAAAACTAGCTCTGAGCTTTCTACACCAGGCATAGCTACAAACAGTATTCTCCAGCGCTACCTGTAGTTAGATCTGCCGCATTCCAAGCAAAGCAAGAATGAGTATTCAAGCTTCTACCCAAAGCAAAAATAATCAGTGTTGCTCTCCTTGACACTGACAATGGTGTATTACTGAGAATTTTTCTTTAGAAGAGTATACAGGCTTTTGCAATCGGAGGTAAGGCCTCAAGACACTTCCGAGGTCTTCAACTTCTGTCTGCGTTAATAGTTCTGACTTAGGAGGCACCACAAAGTGCTGACAACATCACTTCCTTATACTTATTGCTTTTGCAAGCTATGCCCATTCTAAGGACACCTAGTTCACTACAGCATTTTCCCTTCTCCAACATTTCTCTTCCAATACAAAGTACTCCCACTATTGGAAGTCAACATATGTGCACACAGGACGTGACAAACCATTTAAGGCTCTATGGTTGACCAAGAGAAACAGAAAAATACATACACATTACCAAAATTTGCTTCCATTTGACAAAGGGTATTGAGTTTTAATTGAGACTCTTCAAACCATTACCCCTCAACCCTCTTTATTATCCACCTTTTCTCCCTATTCCTTTAATTTATGGGAAGACTCCCTGTGCTTCCCTAAGCAAAACAAAAATATCACATTAAGTTTGCTCCATAGACCAAAAGGTTAAAAAAAAAAAAAAAAAAAAGACAAACTGGTTCACAGTTAACCATAAATAAAAGTGCAATAAGTGTTCAAGTAGAGTGTAGAGTTTAAGCAAGCTGTACAAGCACATTTGGCATAGTCATCTTTTAAAGGCTCTGCGTGGGTCCCTCCCATTACTGACAGCAGGGGGAAGAGGCTGAACACTATTAGCTGTTGCTGGATTTACAGGTCCTCGTCCATTGCCTCTCCCACTACCTGCGTAAGAGTGGCCGTGATTATATGTAAATGGAAATCCACTTGATTCGGGTCCAGTTTGTAAACCATTTCCTAGAAAAGAAAAAAAAAAAAAGGGTCATCACAAGTTCCCATTGACTCAAGTCACTGTTCCCCTACACAAGTTAACAACAGGGAACACAGAGCCTGCAGCAACCAACAAACCCCAAGCACTAGAAAGAGCCTCTCCAGCTTTTCCAAGGCCCCAGCCTGCAACTTACCTTCTCTCCATCCCTTCCATCCACTTCCAACTAAAGCAAGACAGGCCACAAGTAGCATGACAATTATTTGCACATGAGGGAGATATGAATCTAATGAAACTAGATCAATGCTTTCAGAAACACTGGCTTGCAGGTAGCACGCCAAGATGTTCCAGAGACATAGCAGGGCAGAAATCAAACAGAAACAAGCAAAAGGAAAGCAGGCTGCACACAGATGATGCTTATTACATCATCTCCTATTACCAGACTTCAGAATAGAAAGCTATCTTGGGAGATCCAGTCACAGAAGCAAGTCAGCTAGCACTAAGCACTCATGAATTGAAGCCTTAAGCATCATTGTTCACATTTTGTTTTCATCTCCTCTGAAGACGTGCCTACATAACAACTGGTTTAAATGCCCGCTTGGCTCATTTTGGAAAAGGAGAGGCTGGCCTAAGAAAGCACTGCCCTTCTTTGCTCAGACGCATTTGCTTTCAAAGAAGCAAAGAAGGCTCATAAGTGAAGTACAATCTGAAACGATAATCACATTATGAAAGAAGCAGACAGTCGCTGTTTAGAAGTTACACAGAGCTTTGGAGCAGTGAGTTATGTATCTGTTTGCAGTCATCCATCAGCAGAGCTTAGCTGTACGACACCAGGCACGGGGCTTCGTGTAGGCAGCCACAAATAAGGTTCCCTCTGAGCTTACACCCACTCAAGACTTTGAAGCAACTTCTTCAAGCCTTAACGTTTAAATAGAATATATTACAAAACCACAGTCAGATCAGATATTAGAATTCAGATTACCACCACTTCTATCTATTTTGAGGAGCTAACCTGGCAGGAAAACCCTGGTAAATGGCAAGATTTTTAAGGCCAAGATCTCAGGTGGCTTAAACAAAATGTCTCCTTTTACTCCACTTTATAAGCAGAATTTCAAGTACTGCCAACTCTCTGAAAACACCAAAATGATCCAGAATTAGTTAAATCCCTTTACATGGTACAGGTACCATTAATATTCTGATCTCTTCCTCTTCTTGGAAACAAACCCCAAAACCATCACTCGGGAAATGTTTGCGTTTATGTGCTTGCAAGCTCAGACCCCACTCAAAAGACTTGAAGTGTAGTACATGGTCACCACACAGTGTAACAGAACCTTTAAGTTTCTTTTCATTCTCATTGACATACTTTCACTTCCACAAAATGAAAAATGACTTACCCAGTGGCCCGAAAGTACAAGAACTCATATTACTCGATGCACAACTATTATTCTGTTCACCTTGAGCCTTCAGAGAGATATAAAAAAAAACATGGATCAGAAAAGTTTTCATAATTTCATATAGAGGGATTGATTTTCTTCCTGTGTTCTTACTGCAGCTGTATACAGAAGTTACCTGCTACTCCAGTTATTGACTTAAATCTACTTATTAGTTCAAGACCACTTTTCCAGAAGAGTCACAGTATTCATAACAAAGAGCACTTCATGGTGGAAGTCTCAGACAAGTTCAACATACCAGTTTGCTCTGTCCAATGTGTTCTGAGTTGGGCTCACTGAAGTTTGGCACTTCTGAGTATACCATGCAGAACCTGAGGAGAAATTACCATTACGGGGAAGTTCTAGAACTGTTTGTAAATTTCTCAGCTCTGCTACTCAAAGAAGGTTTGTTCCACACATCCCGCCACCAAGTACTAATCCAGAGCCCTCTCCTTCAGAAAGGGTCACTAGGTTTTAAAAGGCCTTGCTTGTTGTTCGACCCCTGCGTAGGACTGTGGTGAAGCTGTCACACCTATCTCTGTCAAGCAGAGGAAACTACACCTTTGCTGTAGCAAGTCAAACAGCCAAAAGAAAACAAACTGTAATAAAGAGCTCCCTTCACATCTCATCTCTGCAGTTTCGTTGAGCACCCACTCACGAGACAGTCACCCAGCCTGCTCCCAGATGATGGCTGCCTTAGCTATCTAGGGAAAAAAAATACTCCCACACATTCCCATGCAATGAGCACCCCATTACCACAATAATGCAGAAAAGCCCAGAACAAGAACAAAATTCAGAGCATCCTTTCCCATTTAAGTGGGCCTTAACAAATAGGTCCACTAATTGACCACATGGAAATCATAGCACAAATAACGATTCTGAGTTGCTAAACAGAAGTACAGCTCCCACTGGGAGGCAGAACCTAGACTAAGACTCACCTCAATCCAACCTGTCAGACTTAAAACTCCGCTGGATGATAACACTGAGGCAATGACTCGGCACTAAGAAAATCCACAGATAATTCCTCGTCTAAGAGGGGGGCCATCCTATAGTACTACTTCCCCAATGACTACAAGGGCTCCTGCAGCGCTGTGTAACAACAGAAGTACTCTTCTAGTTAGAAATGTTGCTATTTTACCTGTTGCCTGCCAACAGCCTTACTCCTTCTGAGCCACAAAAAGTCACCATCTCACTTAGTAAGCTGTTTAAAGACAGTTTCACGAGGCTTATTTCTGTTTAGATAAGATTCACTCAAGTTACCTTTGTCTTCCTTTTTTGTACTTCATCTCTCAAGCATAAGAGACACAAGGCTTCCATCAAAATGGTAACTCAAGCCCAACGACTAAGTCCTTTGTCATTTACAGGCCATCCCGTCACCACCTAACCCTAAAATCCAGACCTGTGCCATGACAGAGGCTAATCTACCTCAATACGCTTAACCAGAGAGGACCAGAAATCACTGCAACAAATGTGCAAACTCATGTCAGGGGTACCCGTATTCTATCTACCCATGACCACACAACACAGTTTTGCTGGCCTAGCATTGATGTGTTGAGAGCCACTGCATCTTATACTTACCACAATGCTCTGCTGACAACTGAACATAAAACCATGACATGGATGTGTAATACTTACTCCCCAATTTTATGCAGCTCTCCTCCTCGTCCTGTGTAAAGTGTCAAACAGCCTTTCCACAGAGATGCATACCTGGCCAAAGAGAGGACAAGCAAAGCAGTCTCTTAGACAAAGAGAAACACCACTGCTGAAAAAGCAAGTAGAAATATGACATCTTCAAGGATTGGAAGGTACTTCATATCAGAATTAATGCTCTAAACAAGCCACAGGGACCTCAAGTGTTCTCAACTTTACAGCACTAAAAGATTTCGATCTTCACGTTTTACCTCTAGCAAGCTAAAGTTATTGAAAGCTCAGCTGAATCCCTTGCAAACTCCAGGAGACCAGCCAACTATTTTGAGACTTGCTCTTTCCATGGCTAGAGAAAACCTTGTGACCCATTCCTGAAGAAAAGGCATTTTGCCAAAAGCAGGACCCACGTTACCAGTCAATGACAAGTCTCAGTTCTGGGACTTGCTACACTTCTAGTAGGAGCCAGGAAGAATCACAGAATTGCCAAGGTTTGGATAAGACCTTCGAGATCATTCCAGAATTCAAGACCTTCAATGATTACCTTTGTTTACTGACAAATATAGATTTTGCTAGCAATATGTAGAATAGGAAATGCTTTTCCAGTACCGATCCTTAGCATTTTAAGGCACAAGTCTGAACACAGAGTTCCAAGTGACATATAGAAATACACCATTAGCATTTTTGGATTAGAGAAACATTCACAGGACAGAGCACAAGTGACAAATGGCTCCAGGCACTGGAATCTGGGCTTATATAAAACCTTCTACAGAGTTGTTCCTTTCAGTGAGCAGCATCGTGTAAGGATAACAAGGCAAAATTCACACTGGAAGCCTGGATGCATAGCAAGGGACCTAAAAGGAGTGTAGGCGTGTTGATCTTCCTGCAAAGGAAGCGCAAGCCCCACACATTCCACCCTCAGGAGTCACTGATAATCTGGAGTCACCACTTCCTTACGTTCCGGTCTATCTTCACAATATAGATAAGGAGCCCTCCTCCTGTCCTTTGCCTGAACAACTCACAGGGCTCCAAGCAGAAGCACCAGGGAGGGGCCCCAGTGGCAGAACAGGACCCTAATAGCAGTGCAACGGTGACCTCTGCTCAGCACAGACAGTGCCATGGTGGTTTGGAGCCTGTCTTGGGTTGTCCATTCAGAAGCAGGAGTAATGTTTTTCAGCTGGTGGTGCCACCTTACGTTTTAAAGATGATTCCCTCTGTGTTTCACCTTTAATAATTAGTTAGCTGGATAGTCTTCATGCAGAACACAAAGGAAAATAGAAACAAGTGAAAAACAAAGCATACATTTACTGTGACAAGACCCAACAAATCTTGATACCCTCCAGCAAAAAAATTATTCCAGGTATGTGCGTTTTGCCTCACTTGGCCCTGAAACACTAAACTCAAGAACTCTGAATTTAGAAATGCTAACTGCAGCAGCTTCCTGTGAGTTAATCAGCCAGGGACAGTAAACAACAACAGTACCTGTTTTTGCAGAGAAATGCATCTATATCTACTGGAAATTCAGCAACAGAAAGGCACATTTACATGTAAAGCCTAGCTAAGCTTTACTACTTGCAAGGATAAGCAGCTTGCACTGGAAAGAATCAGATTACCCTACTGAACAGAGCTGAAATCTACCTGTCTTCCAATGGCAACATCCCACACTGAAACCAAACTGAATTAAATGTGTTCAGTGTTCGTATGTCTGCTCAAAGGCATTTGTCAAATAGAAGAGCCAAACCAGAACATACTTAGCACATAATAGGGACTGTAATTACACAGTCTAAAGCAGGCTTGCAATTCATGTAAATGAAGGCATGACTTAACCATCTACAAAGATGGTGGATGTCAGCTCATAGATTTAATTCCTGCAAGCCAAACTCAGTTTTCAACATGAAGAGATGCAATGACCTTCCCATTGGCAGCACTGAACTACCAGAGCAGCTGCAGCAAGCCACCGTCAGAGAATGCTGCTAAGGAGTATCACAACTTGTTTCAATGTCAGCTATGCGTAAGGCCCTATCCTGGCCCAGAGCCCTGGTTTCACTCTGCACATTTCAGTGCCCCAGCACTGCCACGTGCTCTCCACGCAAGCAGGCTTCCCCAGAACCTCCTCTGCTGAGGAGTCAGCCCATTTCACAAAAAAGTCTGCATGGGAGGAAGCAGCTACAGGCTTGGCAACAAGGGTCATCCAGTTTCTTTCTAAAAATCAGGAACTACACTGAAACAAACAAGTGGAGGAGCTCAGGTAACAGCTCCAATGAGTAACCTTCTTATTATTCTTTTTCATAAGCACAAATTAAAAGGAGCTTAACACGTGCTGCAGTACCACCATCTCCTGCAGTGCTGTGGGAAAGTATCAGAGCAATGAATTTGAAGAATAAATTAACTAACATGAACTCAAATGAAAGCAACTGCTACTGTGTAAATAGCAAAGTGATGTGAAAAAAGATTTTTAAATTGCTTTTAAATTGTTTTTTGTTTGTTTACCTTGCCACATCCATGAAACACTGTATGGGTGGTTTTACTGTGAGAAATCAAGCGGCACCTACCCAAACATAGGCTCTGCAGTGTAGCCCCAGAGTGCAGGCTTACGGTGAATTTGAGAAGGCTCTCCCATGCCTGTCATTCCTGCTAAACCCACTGCAACGAAAAGCAACTTTCATACATTAGAGATGCTATTCCTGCCTTTCGTTGAGGAGCCGACTGCCGGGGTACAATTCAGGCTGTAAAGATAAGCACACGGTTCTCCCTGTCCTGCTTAGTTTACAGACTGGGACCGTCGGCCACACGCACTCCCTATTACAGAGCTCCAGAGAACAGCGCTTTCGGGCCTCAGCACCGCCGCCGTGACAAGCGCAGGCCCCTCCCACCACCTAGCAGGGCACACGCTGGCGCTGTGCAGTCCCGGGCTGGAGCGGACCGCTTTCATTTGGCAAACGGCCCCCGGGCCGCTCCAGCGCGCGGAGCCAGCCCGAATGGCGCGGGCCGCGGCTCCCTGCGCGGAGCACAAGCCTGCTTCCAACTCCGAGCCTTCGCACGGTGACAAAGGAGTCCCCGGGCCGGCCGCAGCCCCTACGCACCCTTTGGTGAGGCGGATGATGTCCCCCGGCTGGATGAGGCTGCCGATCTCGTCCCACACGGAAATGGTGATGCTGCCCGTCTTGTCGGCCACCTTGCAGGACCTCACCTCGTGCCCGTCCTTGGTCTTGGTGACGCGCCCTGCGGGAAGGAAGGGAGGGAAGAAGAGAGGAAGAGAGGGAGGGGGGGAAGCGCGTTGCGGGGCACGGCGCGGCCAGGCCGCGGCTCCGCGGGACGTGGGCGGCCCGGGCGGGGCGTGGAGGCCGCCACTTACCGATCTCCAGCACAATAAAGACGACATTTAAGTTTTTCAGTCCGGGTTTTATGTCTTTTATAAAGACGTACGCATCGCTCGCCGCGCTCATGCTGCGGCCGGCGGGGGGGACGGGGCGAGCGGGGGACGGGGCCGTGCCCGCATCCCGCGGGGCGGCGGCGGCAGAGCGGGGCCGGGCGGGGGGCACCGGCAGCCCTCACACGGGACGGGGACACGGGCACCGAGGGGCTGCGAAGTCACTGGGAGGCTCGCTCGACTCCCCCACCGCTCCCTCTCCCCACCGACACAACACACACCGCCCGCCTCCCGCTCCCGCCGGCACTAAGGCGAGCATGTGCTCCGCGCCCCTTTATATACCGATCGGGCACGACCACCCGAGGGGCCGGGCGGGGGGAAGCGCTGCCGAATGGAACCGTCCAGCGCACGCGGAGCGCGGGGACTGGGCGACGGGCGGGCGCGTGCCGGCGCCGCGTGCTGATTGGTCCGCGTGGCCGCCATTTTCCCTTTGCCCGGGCGCTCCCCGAGCGGGCGGGGTTCGGTGGTTGCGCTGTGCTTTCTCTCTGTCGATCTGGTCTGTCGCAGGGACGGTCGTGCAGCCTGCCGACCGTGGCGGTGTAGCAGGGCTGTGTTGGGAAGCGAGTCGGCTCCTCCTCAGGCTGTCCTGGTGTCTGGTTGTGACACGGACGTGTCGCACTACGGAGGGTTCCTGCAAGGCAACTCCCGGCGTGCTCCGGTCTCCTTCGCTGAGGGAATGGGACGCGTGTGGGAGGGCTGTGCCGCCATTAGGATGGCGTTGGTCTCCACAAAGCGCCGGTGGCTGGTGCGAGGGCTGACGGGCCCCAGTTCTGCAGGACCGGGCTTGCAGCCTTTCTGTGGCAAAGCCACGAGCCTAAATCCTGTCCAGCACCAAAAAAACACCCCAAACCTATGCACACACCCTGAACTCTACCAGGTATATTATCTCTCCCTGGTGGAGAGATAATATTCAGCGTGGTGACGATCTGAGTCACATTAAGCGACAGCAACGTCTCAGTCACCACAGTAGCACCTCAGCCTTCATGGACAGGTTTCTCCCCAAGAGCTGTTCATCCTGTGGAGAGTCCAACGCCTTGCTTGTCTTTGAGCTCATCAAAGTCTTCTGTGGGGGATGCCTGGATGGTAACAGTTCACCTTGCTGTAAAGTGGCCAGTGCTCTGCCAAGAGTGGCCAGTGCAGTGCGGTGGGTGAAAGAGCCACTGGCCATTGTTAAGTGCTGTTTGGGAAAACGTTACCAGGTCTACAGATAAAACAGAGACACTGTCAGTCTTGGAAACGAGTTTGGTCTGAGCTCTTTCACAAGTGACCATTAAAGTTGTTCTTGACCACTCTGAAGGTGCTGGCATTATCAGATTCGAGCCATAGCAGGGGTTCTTCAGGAAGAGGGCGGCAAAGCCAGGCAGGGGAGAGACCACCAAGGGAATTTTTCATCCCCTCCTCTGCAATGGCTAAAGGATTTGGAACAGAAATGTCTTACTAAGCTCCTGTGGGCTTTAAGCAAATCATCCTATGGTTCGCACCGCCTTCCTCTCCGATTGTTGCATGCACCTGCTGGAAGTCTGCGTGCAATTACAGAGCTGTGCCCACACTGAAGTCTTCAAACAACTGGAAGAAGCCTCCCATTTGCAGGCCCTAGTTGTCGTGAGGGACTTCAACCACCCTCACATCTGAACCTTGGATACAACAGTGCTCAAGCAATCTGGAGGGTTCAAGAGTGCACCAATGACATCTTCGTGGCACAGGTCAAGGAGCTAATGGCAAAAGGTCCTGTCCTGGACATGATTCTTAAAAACAAGGAAGAAGAACTGATCGGGAATGCGAAGGTGGGGTCAGCCTTGGTGGCAGTGACCGTGAGATGACTGAGTTCAGGGTTCTGAGGGAGGGAGCAGAGTGAAAGGCAGGACCGCAACCTTGGTTTCAGAAGAACGAGCTTTGGCCTCTTCAAAGATCCGCTTGTAATACAGTCATGGGGAGAAAAGGTACAGAGTTGCTGGTTGGCATTCACGGATCACTTCCATGCTTAAGAAAGATCCATCCCAACAAGTATGAAATCAAGTGAAGACAGCAGGAAGAAGGCAGGCAGGCTTTTTTCAGTAGTGCCCAAAGACAGGACAAGAAGCTCAAACAGACATTTGAGATTTCTTCTTTAATTTTCTGTGAAGGTGGTCAAAAAACTGGAACAAGTTGCCCCGAGAGGATGTTGAGTTTCCATTCATGGAAATATATATTCAAAACCAAGTAGGCATGGTCCTTGGCAACCTGCTGTAGCTCACCTCGCCTGGGAGCAGTTGGACTCGGTCATCTCAAAAGTTGACTTAAAATTCTGTGATTTCTGTGAAGAGTTTTCCTGTCTGCCAAGTGCATAAAGCAACACAAAGCTTGACACGAGGAGTAAGAAGACAAGGTCACAAACTTCCACTGTATCAGTAAGTGTCCGGGACTGAGTTGGGAAGACAGAACTGGCCATCTTCTCTTTAATTGTCAGGGACATACATGATTTTTCCAGGTCTGTTTTAAGAAAGCGTTAAGATGTCTCTTTCTCCACTTATGAACACTTTTGCTCTCTCTCACAAAGAAACATTTAAAATCTTTCTCATATTTTTTTAATCAACATTCCAGTAGTCAGTCCATGAGAGTGACTTTGATGTTATACAGCAGTGATTGAATGATTCCTATTTGCTGTGAAGGTGACCTGCAAAACAAACCACATTTTATCCTCTGCTTCTTTATGATGTATAAAGAAACCAGAGTTATTATTAATTTATTCTGTTTTTCTGTCATCTTCTTTCCCGCTTTGTTTTTAGGGCTAGCTAGTTGTATCTGCAGGCAGTGAAAGCCCCAGCTTTCTGACCTCCTTGCAGGAGGTGTAGTCAGTTTTCCTCAAAGAGGAGAAGCACAGAGGTCATTAATGCAGGTGCATCTTCAGGTACAAGAGCTTCCAGAAGGCTTCCAAATACCCAGGAACAACAAGTAAAACAAAGCCCAGAAGCCATGGCAGCAATATGCAATGGGAAAAGAGAAATGTACTGTCAATATCTACAATTCCTGCAATAATCTGATCTTTAAAAATGTTAATGAGTACTGGCTGCATGAGTGGGTCACACCAAGAGACAGCACCAAAACTGTGCTTCTGCACTTCACAGGATATCTGGTAAAGTGTGTGGCTGCAGTCAAAGCTGAAGCCTTCCTTCACAGAGGGATTTGAATGTCTCTGTGCCATTCAGCCAGTCTTACCACAATTACCAAATTCAGCCCTTCAATGGATTCAATGGATTTCTCCTGCAGCGGTTCCACTGATGCATCTAAATTCATTTTCAAGCTCGTTTGCTTCCTGAAGATTTCAATTCTGTGTGCAAGATTTGAGCATTTGTAAGCTAAGGTTATAGGGAGCTTTTAATCCAAAACAAAATCAGCGTTAAGTTATTAAAAGATTTCTCAGCAATCTCATATCTAGCAAAAATCCTATGCGTCTCAATAGGGCTATGATTTCACCCTCTGGAGTTATGCCAGCAGAGAAATTGGTCCAACCTTCCTCCCCACACACACAGCCTTTTCTTTCAGTTGATCAGTATTCAGTGCTGCTGGAGTCCCAGAGTAGGCCTTCCTGCAAAAAATCTGCCAGCAAGAGCTGGTGCACAGCGTTCTACAGTACACAGAAGCCCCAAAATGCTGCCTTTCGCCAACCTTACCTCTGACGTTACCTTACCTCTGACACCTTGAGCACACCGTGTTTGGTCAGAGGGGTCATGATTTCTCTGAGGAAATTCCAGAGGAATTTAGGTTTCTATTTACCCTGTACAGTAGACAAGGAGAGCATAGGAGCTAGTGCCTTCTCACCTTTGCCTGAAGATCCAAGGGACGACGTACAACAACTCTCAAAGATTTGAGGCCCCCTAACACTCACTGTTGCTCTTTCTTAGGTCTCCAGTGAGTCCTATAGCAAAAGGAGACCACATAGCCTTGCTCCTTGATCAGACAGCTTACTTACTTTTTGTACTTAAAAAGTGCAGTTCACACTTTGGCACTGTAGCCATGCCAGAATAACCCCACTGCGTCTATGAGGAACCCAGTCATAAGCACACCCAAACGAGTACAGTAACTCCTGGTGGTTTTTTGTTTTCTGTTAATTGTGTGAAAAGATGCAATCTTCACGCCAACAAAAATGTGCAGTGAGCCCTTGAACTAGCCATACTGTCATGGCTGGTTGGCTAATACAAGAAAGAAATACTTAAAGTCAGGGAGTTTGAGCGGGACACAGAGCTTTGCACAGGCCGTTCCATTTTCCCTGGAGTGAGATGAGTCACTTGCTTCACATACATGTGGCTCAACATAGGGCAGCCAGCACTGGGAAGCTGCCTGCTGTGGCTCAGAAACCCCTAAATTATCAGCAAGGCAAGCCCCTTTCCATCTGTTTTAGTCAAAGGAGGCAACAGTTCAAAAGGGTTTATGAATGCCTTCTACTTCTCTGCAGGGAGTGACTCCTGCATGAGCAGTCCCATCACATGGTCTGTGGCCTCACCACACGCCCTGAGGACCAGGAGGATCTTGGCTCTTTCTGCCCTGGGAAGGGTTTTCAGTGCTGTTCTCTGCAGACCCACCATACCATGCTAGCTGCCAGCTGGCTCCACATGGGCTGGAAGTTCAACGTTGGCTTGCATCATCTAATGATGGCCTTCAGAAGGGATTTATGATTAGGAAGAAGCCTTTGAAGATTTAATTTGGTTTGGATTTTTTTTTTTTTAAATGAGGATTTGGGTGTTTTGTTTTTTTGTTTGTTTGTTTGTTTGTTTGTTTTTTCTGAAGCAGTGCCTGCTTTTTCATGAAAGTTTTTGATATTGATAATATGAACTTATACCTTTCTCAAACCTTAATATAAGCAGCAGAGTGTGTTTTCCTTACAGCAGAGGAAGGAAAATGAATGTATATCTCCTTCCCCATATCAATTCCCTTGGCAGAGAAACCACATCTCAATCTCCCTGCCATGGAGCTGGATGAGGACATTAGGGCACTTATCCTGCCCCAGACAGCCACCACTCTTCCTCTGTGACCTCCCAGCACCGTCCATGTATGATCACTGTCTTCCTGATAAGATCAGGGTTTGCTACTGAGTCAGACTTGGCTGTAACACCTGGTGGAAAAAAGGGAGGCACAATGCTGGGGTGCTGTGCTGAGTCAGTGTGGGAATGCTGGCCCTGCCCTCTGTGCAAGCAGAGCACTATAGTACTGGTGCTGCTGGGGACATGAGTGTGTAGGCACAGCCTCAGTTGTTCAGCTCTGTGCTAACAGCAAAAAGCAAGTCCTACACGAAATAAACAGATCTCATTGTGGCAAAGTGCTTCATAAATGACTAACTGCCTTCTGCAGACTAATACAGAATCAAGCTGCTCCAGAGTACAGCAAGTTTTTCTTTTTCTCCCTTCTCCCTCTGGCACCCGTAGTTGTAGTCCGAGGTGCACAGCTTTGTGTCAGTGACTAACAAGTGCATAACAGTCACTGCAGGTTCCTCTGTCTTGCATGACAGCACTACTGTTTAGGTGCTCAGAGGAGGACCTAGGATCCATACAGCTGGCCCCAAATGGATCAGCAGATAAAAAGTGTTTTTTTCAGTGTGTCACACCTGCCAACACAGTATGTTTCAACTGCCAGTGGCAACACAAAGTGGTTTTGTACCACAGCTTTTACATTTCCACCTCCATGTTATGACCATATGTAAAATCAATGTTCCAGCCCAGCTGGGATAACAAAGGAAACAATTTCTCCTGAAACCCACACATGAACATGAAATACATGAGTAATACAAATAGTTCTTTCTGATTTATCACTTCTGGGAAAGTACTATTTAAAACAAACCAAGCCAGTTCATGATATTTCAAATCACAAAGAGAAAAAAATATATAGGAAAAAAAAAAGTAGGAAAAAAAAAGCCTTACTCATAGCAATAAGAGAGGTGTGGGAACCTATTTACTGCAGCTTAGTAGAGTAACACAGCCAGGCTGCTCTGACATTGCACTTATGAGGAAAAGAGCACTTCTGCTCCTCCTGATGACACAGAAACTCCTGCTGTGAAGGCTGTGAAACAGGACATCAGATTGCAAGCTCACGTCATCAGCCACAAACCAGCCAGTTCCTTTCCTCCTGACATCTCACGCCTACCAGCAGGTTAACTTTTAGAAGCCTGATTTAGTTCTTGCTCAAGGCCCCAGGAGCTCCTCTGAGCAGGGCAGACCTGGTGGAGATGGTATTACCACATGGTCAAAGTGCTTTTGCCAAGACTTTGTTCATAAGCCACATGAGGTGTCTTGGTGACTGCAGTTTCACACCAGGGAAGAGGAGCCTGATGCCTTTCTGTTGGGCAAATGGCTATCCAAAGGCATCAAACAGATACCTTCTGTACATTTTCTGTAGCTACATGCTACTGAAGTTATAAATGTGCAAGACAATTCTTTGTATTAAGATATTTCAAGCTTCTTTTGTAATTTCAAAGAAATGGAAGAGCATCAGTCTATATGCTGATGCTAAGTCATCTTCACCATATGCAGATATTGACCTCCACCTGATGTCTGATACATCGAATTCTAAATAGCAGCACGTGAAGAAAACTTGGAGAAGACCCCAGGAGATGCTTAACTGGCCAAGCTTGTGCTGGGCAGGTGACCTCTCCATTGTGCTCTCCCACACGGGGAAGAGAGCTGAGAAAGTACTTACTGACATATAGATGTGTCCATGGGAAGTATCCAGATCGTCCAGTTTATTTACTTCCTGTATGATCATTAGAAGGCACATCATCCTCTCATCCACGCACTCATTTAGTCATCACTCTCTTCTGACTGATCTTTAGTTGCTGTAATTCCGAATTCAGAGAAGAAAGCCAATAACACACAAAAACACAATAACACGCTCCAATAAACCCGTAAGTCAGTCAGAGCCTGAGCATCACAAAAAGTCACATGAGAAAAGATATATGATGACATGCATTGAGAATATCCCCACATTCACTGGGATCTCTGTCAATCCGTACAATCAATACGTTCAATATTCTGCCACCAAGTTTGTGAGAAAATCAAGGTCTGAGATGAGGCAGTGAGCCCCACTGAACCTTCCTTGCTGCACCCAGCTGTTCTGGATCCCAGCTAGTCTCTGAGCTCCAGGCTGGAAGAGGCACCTTCCTGGACCTTGCATAGCGAGTCTGGATGCTTCTTCCCACCCCCATCCAACATTGCTTCCCTTTCGGCAAAAGACTGGAAGGAAAACACCCTTCTCTGCATCTTATCTTTAAGCAAGCCACTTCAAACCCCCAGAAACAAACCAGATTTGATGGTTGCTACCCCATCTCAGCTTTGCAGCTTTCCTTAATTAGCAGTGTGCAGAGCAACACATAATTAGCAGTAGATATTGTCTGTTCACAGCCTAGTGATGTGCCAGGAAAGGATGTGGAGAGCTCACGTGGAGCCTGTGTCACACCAACACTCCGGCCTGTCATTACAGTCAGACTCATGAGCAGGTTTGAGCTCATCAGGTACCAGTTTCCCAACACTTAAGCAGAGACATGCGAGGCACCCAGAGCACTGCTTTGATCAACACTCTGATTTCCTGGGGTTGTAAATGGCAGAGCAGGTAGCTTTCTGTGGACCACCATTCCCCTCACTCCATCGGCGATAAGCATAACACCAGAGTTAATGGTGCCCCAAGCATCTGGAAAAGTGGCAGTGGTAGCTAATGCAAAACACTTGCTTTTTTCAATATAAAAGCCCCCCAGAACTGGTTCTACTGCTATGTACAGCTGTGCTGCATGGCACAGTGCACAGCTGAAGCTAGCATCCAAAGGGTTAATTTTGCTCGGGGAAATATCTTGTCATAAAGAACTGGTCGCTAATCGCCAGCCAAGTACTTCAGCTAGTAATTACACGATGTGGGCACACAGAGGGCAGTTTCCCAGCCCTGGCACAGGCTGCAGATGCAGGCCTCTCACATCCCACTGGTGCCGTGGCAGCACAGAGATGTGCACCTCTGCCCTTAACCAGCTCCAGGAAGCACTTGCCATGTGAATTAGCACAAAGCTGCTAAACCACCATGGCATCAAAATCAGCAACGGCCATAGGCACACAAAACTGAAAAAACTGCAGGAGTGGTTCTTTGTGTGCTAGCTTTCCCTGTTTGAGGCTTTCTCTTTTGACTCTTAAAGCACTCCAGTAACCAGCGCCTGCTACCTGGAAACATCAGACATCGGATACCTCAGGACATCCTCTGACTCCGTGGCTTACAAAGCAGCCCTCCTCCCTTTCACCTACTGCTTCAGTAAATCCTTTGCTGTTTACCCCCCACCCTGTGTTTATTCTGCAGCCAAAAGGGAAGTTCATCTTCTAGGCCTGTGCTGGCAATCCCTGAAACTGCCAACAGTGAATGTAAACTGCATCTTGACCTCCTGGGTCCACAAAATCCCAGACCATGCTTGGCTTCTTTTCGTTTTTGTAGGATTCCACAGATGCCAAAAGTAATCCTAGTTTACATTAAATACAGGCAGGTCAAAGATCCTCTGCTGATGCTGAGAGTACTACTTGTATGAGTAGGGACTGCTCACAGAAAAAGGATTACTGGTACAAAAAGGGATTAAAGAACCGAAGCTGTCAGACTGTAAGTCTCCCTGTTTGCACTGTCAAGCCTCAAATACACAAGCTGGTCACTGGAGCCAGAGGAGTGCCAAGATGACACTGCCTGGAGCCCACAGCCCCACCTATATCCTCCCAAGGTCAGCCTTGGGCCTTTCGAAATTTATCCTGTTTTGGAGGACACCCAAGACCAATTACATCAGGGCCTGGGGCCCAACATGTGGCCCAGCGTGTTAAGCAGAGCCACGTTGCTGCTTTGGGCAGCTGGGACCAGGCCCTGCCTCCCACCAGATCCGTGATGGGCACCACTGCACTGCTGAAATCTCTGCAGGCTGGGTGCACCCTTGCGTGCTCTGCCTCTGTGCCTGTTTCCCACTGCCCATACCCATACAGCCTTGAGACAATGACCAGCAGGCTGGCAAGAGTACTGGCAAAAGCAGTGAATTGCTCGGGGTGGTTAAGAGCAATGAGGAGAGCGTCAGCAGCAAGCACAAAGCAGAGCCTTTTCCCAGTGGCCTCCCGCAGCAGCGTTTCCAACCCACACACATTTGCACGCTGCTGTTTGAATGCCTGCAGGTTGCTATGGACAACCAAAGGCTGCTGGACCGCCTCACGGAGCAGAGCCCTACCATAGTTTGCATGACGTTAAGGCCTGGCATGTTTGGTGTCCCTGTGAGGGTCCTCATCGCACAAGCTCTTCCTGCTAACTGACTCTCACAAGCCTGGGTGTTCTGGAAAATCATGTCTGTCTTACCTCCACGTGCCTTTTGGATGCAGGCAGCGGTGTTAGCTGCCTTTCAGATGAGGAAAACAGAAAAACATTAACCAACCTGTCCAACATCATGCCAGAAGCCCATGGAGAGCTGTAGAAGACTTTGTCTCCCAGTTCTGCTGGCTGCCTGGCGGTTTCTATCAGGACCAAGACAACTACAAAATTAAATGGGTTTACTCCAATTTTAAGCTGGTGAAAATGCCACTCCGTTGTGTAATCTCACCCCTGCCACAGCTCATCTGTTGCCTTGAGCATAGAAATACACTTTCTTTTGGCCAAAAAATGAGAACGACATTATCAGGTAATGCAGGACAGTTAAGAAATTACAATTTCTGAAATATTCTTTGAGTTGGCACAGAGCAAACATCAAAGAAAAAGACCTCAGAATAGATTTCGTTTATCCTCCTCCATTTAAACGCAATGCATGTCCTCCTCTCCTCCAGCAGATCTGCAAAGAGCCAAGTGATTCATCTTCCTAACAAAACAGACACAGAGAGCACACCTCCCTGATTAATGAAGTTTTCTACCGAGGACTCGGGTACATTGCAGCAGACAATGAGAAATGTGATTACTGCTAATGCAGCATTGACACAAATGTCAATGATGTAAAGCAAGTCATATCTTTTTGAATCAAGGCTCCCTTCCATCATTATTATTTTTGTTTGCTTCTTCCATTTTAATAAGCCGTTGCTCTGTGCATTACCAAAATACTCCCAGGTGAAACCACGTAGGGATGAATTAGTTTTTGTGTAATGCTCCATTAAATAGCAGGCACCTTTAACAAAAAAGGGTGTTGTGTGTTGACGTAGTCCCATTATCATTTAAACACACAATAGTCGAGCCAAAAACTCCATGATGTCTTTCCCTCAGTGATAGCAAATCAGTGTGGGGTTTTTTGTTTGTTTTTTTTGTTTGTTTGTTTGTTTTAATCAAAATCTAACAGAGCAGGAAGGAGAATAATGTCTCTTTGTCTCCCAGCCTCCCTGGCTTCTTCCCAGCTGCGGATCTCAGGGCTTCCAGCCGGGCTGATGGAAGTGGGTCAATGGAGAAACCACCAGTGAGCACCCAATTACACTCACTGGGATACTGTTAGATTTCCATATCTCCAGGGAGGGATTAGCTCAGCTTTGGACGCTTCTCATCTGCTCTCATTCCAGTAAGTAGTAAAGGAATAGGCAAGGATGTGAGAAGGAGCTGAGTTTCCAGAAACTTGGAGAATTGTTAGTGTCATACGTGAAAGAATTCAAGTCCTTAAGCTCAGCATAGAAGTTGCATAAGCAATAGCATTTCTTAAAACCAATCTCATTTCTATACAAAAAATGAGAAACAAGTGGCCAGATGGGATCAGGAAGCAACAGAGAGATAAGTATTGTGATCAAATTGTGAAGTTCTCACATGGATTTAAACTTTATACTGCTGCTTCAGGAAGTGGGGGCACAGTGCAGGCAAAACAAACACAGGAAACTTACCTGGGGGAGAGCTGGAGTGGAAACAGGCAAAACAGAACACGGGCTTCAACAGCTAATTGTTAATGAAACATCAGAAACTTATTGAAAGGAGAAAGTCTGCAGAAGTACTCGTAGCCAACCTAGGCACAGGGGAGAAGATGGCAGAGCAAAGTATGAGGTGTAACAGCACCGTGAGGCAGCTGAGTCATGCCAGTGCATTTGCCCTGCTGCAGGAGGATCGGAACAGAGCACAAACCAATAAATGCAGAAAAAAGTCACAGCACTGGGTGGCTTTCACTGACGTGTGTATTTCTTGTGCTATTGCTAGTTTGCTCACTACTACATGACCAAACTGGGAATGCCTTTGTTGAAAATGAAGCATGCCAGTGGTGGAAAGCTGAACTATTTGAACAAATGGGTGAATTGCTCCTGCTGAGAACATCAGCTCAGTTAAAACAACCACCCTCTTCACCTCTCCAGACATTATGGCTGTCTGGCATCCCATGTATGGCATCTCATAAACACGTAGCACCTCCTGGTCAGCAACTACTTATGTGGCTAGTTCTTCTTCAGCACCTAAGCATTCTGACAAGCTGATGTTATCCCAGATTTATTATTCAGGGATGATAGCATCTTTCAAAAATGAAGAAGCTAGGTCACTTGTTAGCAGGATCAAAAGAGTGAAAATGATGTGTTTATCTCAGAAAATGCACGTGGTCAGATTTTGGAGACCCAAGAGTTTGGCATTCAAGGCAAGACATTTGATAGCAAAATCTGCAAAGTTGTTCAAAAACCTCAAAAAGAGTGAGGAACTTTTATGTCATGTAACAAGAGGAAAGGGCATCTTGTAATAAAAGTTAGGAGCCATTTTTACAGTTGTATTGATGGACTCAGACGTATTATAAAGAACACTCTTAACTTACATGCATTGCTGTGCCCTCAAAGTGAAGACATGCAAAACATGAAAACAAGGCAGACATGCAACAGAAAACTGGTGATAACTTCTTTGTGGGCTGAAGAGAGAAATAAAAAAGAAGATCACATATATGGTGAAAAAGCATGACAAAAATATTTACCCCTCCAATCAACCTCGCACACTATTAGTAAAGCAGGAAAATCTTTCCTAATCTGAAAGGATCTCTTCAGCATTAGGCTCGTGTGCGGCCCCTGCTGCAGGAAGCCTGCAGAGCACTGGCATGCATTTTGTTGGCAGACCGTGTATTGATTGCATCTAGCAAACAGCCCAGACAGGAATGGGATAGCAGCAATGTGTTTCTCGATTACTGCTGCTTGTCAGAACACCTTCAGCTTGCAGCAGCCTGGGCTGCTCTGTGCTTCTGGCATGGTTGCTCTTTGTTTAGTGAGAAAATGCCATCTCCTTCATCACAAGGTCTCTTTCAGACAAGAGCTCATGGAAGTTATCTGAAACGAGCTCACAAGCATAGGTCTGTGGTGTCTTGTTGCCACAGAATGGTTCCTGGATGGCAGTAGTGACAGACATCACCTGCAGTTGATCCTGAGCTTCCTACTCCTGTTGTGATGCTGAAGTCTGAAGCTGCTGAGCTTCAAAAGCAGCAGCAGAGACTCGGGCTTCTCACCAGAGGGCTCTGGTTTTCCTTGGTGGGAGTGTTGCAGCTGAACATTGTGTTTCAGTGTTACAGCCTCACTAAGGGCTCGACACTTGATATATGTCAGCAGTGTCAGCTCTGACCCCTGCAAGAGCCATTGGTGCTTGCACACAGTGACGTGGCAACTTCAACCGGGTGTTGTCAGGGTAAGCACGGATTTCTCTTCCTAGAAACAGCTGAAGAAGCACTGAAAAGGGGTATTGTTTCTCATATCCACAGTAATCCACTCTAGTTACTCACAGCAATGTCAAAAGTTACTCAGAGAAGTTTCACCCTTGGGAGGGTATCAGTCTTGTAATTAAGGAACGTAACAGACTATCTAGAAAAGGGCTTGCTTTGAGTATGCACAGGTGTTCTCCAGCCACAGCAAGTCAGAGGACATCCCTGTTTTCAACCTCCCGAGCGTTGTGTTATCATATTCCCACTGCACAAAAGCACAGAAGACCAAGTCCAGTGTCCAAATGGTCAGTTACTAGTGTTCTCCATAAAAGATTCAGAGACAAACCATGGCGACACTTGTGAATATAAAATCTGAACAAGAAATACCATCCAGAAAAGCTTTGGGCTATAAAAATAGACAACACGAGTTAAAAACATCCCCTTCCATATACCTGGTTAGGCAGACGTTGCCTGGGCAAGCTAAAGGCAGTCACACTCTGGAGCAAAGGGGCAGTCGAGATGACTTTCCAAATGCCCTCCAGGCCGTTCTCTGCAGACACGCATGTGCACAGCTCAAAGCAGCCGCATCAACCACACGGACTGCAGTGCCTGCTGCTGCACGAGAGCGTGGTTACAGCAGGAGCCTTGGCAGCTCTCTTCTCTAAGGAACAGTCAGTGGGACGTTTGGGGAAGAAAAAAACCAACCAAACAAAAAACACAACGAAGGAAAAACAAACTGAATATCTACAGGAGTGGAACACACAACTGGCTGGGAGAATTTCGGGCTCTCATTAGTAGGCCAGGAGCAAACTGTGGCAGAGGCTGGAAGTTGCAGTGTGCCCTGCAAACAAGTAGCTCGGACTGCCCTCTACAGTACACAGCCGTGCTGTGCCTGGGACAGCAGGAACACTTTAATACATAGCCACTTGACGTCCCTTTCAAACCTCGGTGTGAAAGCTTGCTTGGCCACATTTGTATATCTTTACTTCAGACACTTCTCAGTACAAAAGAAATGAATGCTCTTTTTCCTTTGCAAAACTACTTCAATGCCCCTCATCAGTACTCACATTTCTAGTAGGGATGTTCTCTGTACTTCCAGTCCTCTAGTTCATATTTAGAGAGTTATTTCTTGGGAAAACCACTTTAGAATCACCAGAATTAGCCTGAAAATGAAGTCATGGAGCCCTCATTTACCTCGGACTCTGCAAGGCTCTCAGCAGCACTATGAGCATTGCATGCTCACCTGGAAAGCTTTCCCAGCTCACTCTCAGGTATGCAGGAGGGACTCGGCACCTCTCATCCCAGCACTGATCACTTGCAGAGCCTATTTCCAGTGCTGTACAAGTCTGGCGCTTGGTACATATTTACCAAGGCATGGCTTTGTGCCTTGTACCCCACTGTTATTGCCATGGTAGGACTTGCTTTTTTTTCCTCCACAAAAGTCATCCACTGGGACCTGCTTCCTGCACTGAGCACTTCTAACGGCATCACAAATTCTTTTTCCCCAGCACATAGTTTCCCATCCTATTATATTTATGGCTCTGTTTGACTTTTTCTGCCAGCACATTCGTTGAGAAAATAACAGCCCTCAGGGGCAGATATTTCTTATAGTTTGTTCAAGCCTAAAATAATTGTACCAACTTATTAAAAACCCCACTGACAGTATGATACAATAACCTCTGTGATTTATTTATCTTTCAGCAAGCTTTAAAAAAAATGCCCCTGCCTCATTCCAGCTTTACACTGTATAGTCCATCATCAAATGCAGCCCTGTGCTCTGATTATAACACGCTACAACAAGACACTGGGCTTTGAGTTACATTTATTCTACCCTTATCTCGTTGATTTACTAGTTCCTCAAACATTTACTTCCTTATACTATCTTAATTGAAGATTCCTCCTGCCTCTATTTTCTTTCACTGTTATTCTACAGAGAACCTCGCTCTTCAAGTAGCTCTCATGTTCTCTTTCCCATTTTCTGCATACAGCACCATGCCTCTTTTTTTCCTCTCCTATCTCTTTAGCCTTTAAAAAAATCCACCTAAGAGATTTCAAGGGCATTAAAAACAACTGGATCCCACAGCACCTTTTCTTTTTTTTTTTGTCTCCTTGTTTTCATTTCCCAAGGCAGCTCTGCCATCTGAAGGCGCAAGCGAAACAGTTACTGGAAGTACCAGCATTCTGAAGTAT